AGAAAGTAACTGTAAATACAGAACCTTCCCTGGGAGGTCCCCTCACCACGTACAGGAATCCACGTCGAGGGGAGAGTAAAAGGTAAGGTCAAAAGATAGGAAAAAACCTGAAGATAATGAGGACATACCAGGACACCAGGGAGAAATGAAATTGACTGAATACATTTGAGCCAGACAAATAACAAGTACACAAGAAGGAAAGAGTACAGTGAAGAAGAACATAACCTGACCCAATAAGTCCCAACAGCAAAGGAACAAAGTACAGAGGGATAGAGAAGAATAGGCTAAACAGAGAAGGAAATTGATGTCCAAAGAAATCCATCAGAAGCAAGAAGAGCCTTAGAGAAAAGGCAGTTAGCAGAGGGAATACACAAGGATAAGGAGAAACAAAAATGGCAAAAAAAACCAGAATGGGAAATAGATAGTAAGGGGACCAATCCACAAGATGGTCAAAAAGACCCGAATGACAGGGAATTGATAAAAAGAAATGAAGTCTACAAATCAGGACCAAAGTAATCACAAAAGTGGTGGGGGGAGGCACTTGAGTGTGAGAAAGGAGCTATTAGGGAAAGGAAACCATATAAATTTTAATAACGAGAAGGAGAAAAGATATGGTAAGCACCAAGAATCGTAGATCAGGGAGTAAGAAAATGACAGGTAACAAGGAAGACAGGCAAAAGATAAAGAAAGGAATATACCTGATAACAAAATCCAGAAAGAGATTGTGATGTTAAGGTCGTTTCATGAATGGTAAGGTATTACCCAAAACAACTCAAGTAAGAGTTGTAGTCCAATAGATCATTCCTGAGTGAAGAAAGAAATTTGGCCACAAGGACAGGAGTAGGAAGCCCATTAAGCATGTGGTAATCCACAACACATTGAACAGTGGTTACAACAGTCCTCACAGTTAACACAACTCTAAAAGCCATAGAAGAGATAAGCCTAAGTGTGAACAGCATCACTCACTCAAGACTATGTACTAATCACCCCCCCCCCCCCCAGTGGCACAGTTGTATGTCTGAGGACTTGCAATGCTAGAAACTGGGTTTCGATACCCGTGGTGGGCAGAGCACAGATAGCCCATTTTGTAGCTTTGTGCTCAACTACAAACAAACATGTACCAATCGCCATCATTTGTGGGTTCAAGAAAAATAAAGCTTTTGAAACAAAAGTCAAGTTTTGTCAATGATCCAAATCTCAATAAATAACTCAGACAAGAAATTTAAACACATCTTTTGAACACAATGCCAAGGAGAAGAATAAAGTTATCACAAATGCAAATGCATAGGGGGAGTTATCACACATGGAGGAGTGTCACCGTTCCATTAATGGAGGGTTTTTGTTGCATGGTAACATCCTCATACAGCATGTGGCATTAGGTAAGAGTTGCTTCAAAGCTAGGTGGATGCAAGTCTCTTTGGCAGAGACACAAGAAAGATGGCTAAACTGTGTGAGGAGGAGAGTTATCATATCACAAATGTAAATTAAAGGCTTAGCATAAAAAAATTGAAAAAAAAAATTACAAGTAGTTGGTTTACAATGAACATGTTTACAGAAATCATTGCACATAAAATTACTGAACACAGCTAAGAAACAAAAAAATTTAAAAAGTCTACTATTAACAGAATAAGGTAAATGTAAAATGTGCTAGACATGTTGAACATTAAATTGTAAATATTAGATGTTTGTTTACATATTTTCAGTATTAGTTTACTGTAAGTAAACTAATAACGATGATATGTAAACAAACAAATAATATTTTATGCAATACATCTTCCAAGATCATGAAAATGCTGCAATAAAAAAATTGGAATAAAAGTTAACTTTTTATTTTATAGCTTAAAACAAATATTTGACCATAATATAAAATATAATTTGAAATATTGTGAAAAAAAAATAAATTACATTTTAACTAATATTGCGAGCACACATTATCAATAATAGGAAGATGAAATTGAGACATTTTTTGGCAATAAGGTTCAACATGTTTTTAATACTGAAGAGTAAAATAGTAGCGATTAAAACACTGAGAACATTGTGTGTACTAACCAGAAGCAGTATTCTCAGCAAACTGTTCTCCTATGGCAGCCAGTAGTAGTTCCTTCCATACTTGAGGCTGTATAAAATATATAGTGAGACTAAGAAAGAGTATTATGGATAGCAAGTTTCAAATATATACACACAAACACGTACGAGTTTCTCAACATATATCAGAAATAAACCAAATTACAAAAGCTAAATTTCATATTAAATCTGTGATGCAAATTCCAATACAGCCAAAATACACCAACATTATTGATGTATTACAAGCTCCTCCAAAAATGGTTTTCCTATAGGACCATTATTAACTCTGATACTTCCATGTACTTACAACACATAAAATGGCAGTTTCAGTTAGTGCACTTTGTGTACAGCATTTTCTTCCACATTTTGGACTTTAGCTTATACTTTAAGACAGATACAATGCATAAAATCCTTTGAAACAAAATGCTATTTCATGTCTACAAGATAGTAAAAAAATTAAAATAGCCAAAAATGTATATTATAGTATGGAGAACAAAGTATGCACAACGTTAGCATTTCTGTCAAAAAAGAAAATTACTGAAGCTTACTACCCTTGGAAATCGGAGAAAGTAAAAAATATGACTTCATGATGTTAGAAAAACATGTAGGTTCAAGAAATCAATTTCACAAAAAACACAATACCCTATAACCCAAGCCCTTTTGAAAGGTTCACCTTTTAAAAAAGGTGTAGAAAAAAAATAGAATATATCAAAATGTATCAGTTTTATTTTTTTAAAAAAGTTTAAAGAATTAAATAGAATTACAAAGGCCAGTGGCCTACAAAAAGCTAAAAATACAAACAATCTGGACAGTGTCACTGCTTCCAATGACGAACTCTAAGTTTCTGTATGAATGATCATAGCAATGTCAAACCTAAGAGATTTGAAATGATTTTTCATTTAAAAAAATTCCAATTAGAAATTGGCTACTTTATTTATAGGAATGAAGGTCCTGTAATATACCAAATCTCCACATAGCAATCTAAAGATCAAACATTAATACAAGATGCTTCCTCTTGAGGAAGACTTCTCTGATTGATACTTGAAGTTGGATCAGGTCTACGAAAACCACACTGGGTGGGCAAGAGGTGGCTATTTTATTCCAGAAATCAACAAGCATTAACCATTCTCTCCCAAACCTTACACAGACAGCTAGTCAAAGTAAATGATTTATACTTATAAGGAATCTTGAGATCTTTTCTACGCTTAGAAAAAAAATATAACAATAGGCAAAGTATCTGCAAAATCCTCCCCATGCCAAATCCAGTTGAAAACAACCAGAAGGGCAAGAGAGGCAGGAGAAAGATGGCACCAACTGATATGCTGTTGGACTGATGAAAAGCAATCTTTAGTTCTACAAGCATGAATGATCAAATACAGTCACAGAGAATATCAGCTTGAAAAGAAAGCAGCAATTATTCAGCTCATAATTTGAGGGTCAAAAAGGCAAGGGAAGAGGTGTAATTGCTGGAATGGTGAGAAAAGCATTCTCAAGGGTGTTGGCAATACCCAATAAATCAGCAACCTCTTGGCCATTGAAATGAAAGACTGGTGGTCAGAAATATACTTGAAGTGAACTTAACCCAAAATTCCTTCTGGCTTTGACATCTAAACTGCCAGGCATGGGTGCAAGTGAGCTTAAAGGCTATGCAGTTGTAAGGAGTAGGATATCTATACAAGACATCCCATGCTCATTTCTGAGCCTTCTTTGCATGTTATTAGTCTATATTCTTTAGTTAAATTATTAAATAAAAATTGTTAAGTGCTTTACTATAATCACTAAAATAAAATAAAAGAAAAACTCATCGACAATTGAGGGCAAGAAAAAAGAAGATTGGGTAAGTATTTTATTTCTTGTTTTTCATATTTATTCTTTGTTTGTTATTGTAAAAGTAACTAAAATTAAAAGTACAGATCTTTAAGTTATTTAAGACTAGAATAGATAAAATAAGTAATAATAATAATAATAATATAATTAAAATTGTTCATGTAGCACGCGTGCGAGCAGCTCGTGGGTGATGTAATTCGATAACATAAAATGAGCTGCACATTCCCCGAAGGATTTACAACTTATAATGGTGCGGATAGAAGTTACACATGGTTCAAAGGGCAATAAAACAATAAAATTTAATTATAAATAGATGTATAACGTTACAAACTTAGAGTTACTTAGGATAAATTAATAGTTTCACATTACAAGTTGAAGTCATACTAGAAAGAAAAGATGGTTAATTTAGGTTTATTTTGATTTTTTGGGGGTGGTTACAAGGACGGTTGAAGTGACCGATCCCGTTTTGAGATTAGGGTAGAGAAAATAACAAACTATAAGGATTTAGTGAAAAAAAGTTTCAAATACGTTTAGGAGGTTTTAGAGATAACACAAAGGATATTGAGATTTTTTTGAGATGGGGAAAAGTATTTTTAATTTTAACATGAAAAGTAATTTGCACACGGACTATTGAAAACAAATAGTCAATATATTCATGGACAAGACTATTTTATTAAAAGTACTTCACTAAGAAATATTACTTTTGTATGTGACAGACTTGTAATATTAAGTGAAAGACTGCCAAATTTCGTGAAGATATACCCAATATATAGTTACGTATCTAAGTAGTTAAGAACCAGTGTCGAAAGAGTTAAGCAGATATGCTAACTCTTCAGGCTATAAAGACACTGTTAGCAAGCCTTGTGGAATGCTTAAACTATTGGTATTTGTGCATTTAGGTACTGCATGATATTCATCGCATCCTTCTTCATCTCCAGATGTTTAGACTGTCTTGCCACTTGAACCAAGATGGAGCAGGACAAGAGAATGAAGCAGGCTCCATGCAACCTTCCTTCACTTTGATCAAACCTATGTGTAGGTGCCATAACATATCGTGCAACCACCAACAAATATAAAAACTATAAGAACATAAGAATTATCTTGTATACAGTATCATACATTATGACTACAATAAGTTAAAATTAAATATTTGTAAAAATACAAGATTTTGTTTATATACAATATGATTTTGTGCAAGTGCAAAAAAAGAGAAAATTACAAAAATTTTACATTCTATGATAAATTATGACTACCAGAGAATTAGTACACATTTCTTAAAAACTATGTACAATTTTGTTATGAAAAGATCAAAGCACAGTGCTGTCTGATTTTATCCTGAAAATGTCAGTCAAATATATTGTTTTATTCAAAATTTGTGCACAAATAATTCATAGCCTTAGTCAATTGTATGCCTGAATACAGTAGATTTCCTGATCAATAATGCAAGTTAAAGAAAAATTTACCTTATGATATGCTGACTTCTGGTAAAGAGAAATCAGCCAATTCCTAATAAGCTAAAATAATAATTTTACGGTCTGATCTAAAGCATTATACACATATAATTGTCCAATGTTCTATGGTGTTTATTTAGCCCAAAAGGTATGTTATTCACAGTACATGCTGAATGATTATATTTGATTAACAGGATACAATGTAATTATTCATAAGATTTTTTTTAAATAATGATGTGTGTGAAAGGTTGCTCATCAGAAAACACCCGTGACAATGCAGTAAGGTCTCAACTAAATGTTATTTTAATAATTTAGTCAAGTTTTCATACTCACAGACTCCCTCTTCAAACACTTCAGACGCCAGGTACCCCCACGACTGTTGTATTCCTCCTCCCACAGAGGCCTTCTTTCACCCCTCATTAGATGATAAGTATACCTCTGGCTTATTTCTTGTACCTCTGGAATGTTATTGTAGACACTCCAGAAGCTCTACTCGTAGAATAAGACCATAAATATAATACTGTACGGACAACTCTTGTGATAATGCTAACCAAAACTGACTTGATACATTTTAGGCTAATCTTAAGTAATGAAATCCCAAGGGGAAAAAAAAAAAAAAATAGTATAGTTAATGTACTGTACATCTAAAATCCACTGATTCAAAAACTCTGGCAACTTTATTCTCTATTAATTGTAAAAGTTGTTCATACAAAATCATTTGCAATAGTCACATTAATTAACAAACATACGGATTAGTTTCACATTGAAACTATCATCCTAAATTGCAAAAAACAAACTTTAAAGATTATATTATTGTTTAATTACAATGAATATTAAAGTATTAAAGACAGCCAAGGTTCTCTTTTACATTGAATGAAATGTACATATGGGTATAAAAGCACAGTAACAACTTATTAACCTAATACAAAATTAACTATTTTTGTTTTTAGCTCCTTAGATAAGTGTTAGGAACCTATTTCAGTACTTTAATTTTAAATATATTCACTAAAACAAGTTACTTTAAAATGACATCAAGAATTATATTGACAGCTTAAAATGTTTTCTACACACGGGAAAGCCAATTATCTTAAATTACCTTATGAAATTAATGACAATTTTTAAGATGAATGTATTTTGCAATGTTTTACATTTAATGAAATCAACAAATGTAAAACTAGTTTAAAATTCAAATCAAGGAACCACATTTTTTAAATGTAAATATATGATAAACAAATACATAATCTTGACTATGTTTACTAGATATAACTGCAGGAATGTGTCTGACATACGGTTGCACCAATGAAGAAAATGTCAAAAAGAAAAGTAATTTGGATATTGTGAAAAATGTGTAAGTTGGTTAGTGTGTCTTAATGTGCATATCATGTTTATGCTTTAATATAATAATAATAATAATAATAATAATA